AAAAAACGAACTACAAACATATTAACGCCAAACATTCGGTAGAATTTATGGAATATTGTAAAAATATATATATATATATATATATATATATATATATATATATATATATATATATATATGTAGTTTGGCACGAGGTTTTCATTATAACAAATTTGGTTGAATGTTCCTGCCCATTTCGTATTAATTAATTTCTTTTATTGAACAAACCCAAAAGAAATTAATTAATACAAAATACAAAATGAGCAAGAACATTTAACCAAATTATATATATATATATATATATATATATATATATATATATATATATTGTTATAACTGACCCCTTAAACTTGCTGGGTATGGTTATTTCTCTCTACGTGGATTCTTGATTCCTAACCAGACTTATTTCAGATGACTTTGTTAGAATGAAAACAGTGCTGGCAATCACTTGTATGTATTGCCGTAATCGATCACTCGTTCGTTCGATCGTTAAAGTCGTTAGAATACAGCACAATAACTAATCGACAGGTAAATCACGGAGTACAACTATTCGTCAATAATTAAGTTTCTCTTGTCCGACTAATTACATTGAGTTTTTAAGTCCTGGTATTTTTGACTGCAGTGAGCTTCTTTTTCGAATTCATGCTGCAAATAAGGCCATATTTCGATTCCGAATGTATATATATGTATATATATATATATATATATATATATATATATCAATACACACATTTAATATTTATTTTATCAATTCCGGAGTTGTACCGGCTGTAGAAATCAACAATTGTAATTTTCTTAACTTTATGCCACCTTCCACATGTTCGTCCATCTTTTTCTGTGAAACCAATGAGCTTGAATTGTTAAAAATTGTTTCTAAATTAAAAAATTGACATTCGTCTGGCCACGATGTTATTTCTAACTACATCATTAAAAACAGTTGTAAAGCCACTAACATATTGCATTAATTTATCTTTTATCACCGGAATTGTGCCTAACTTTCTTAACATTACAAAAGTTATTCCAGTTCACAGAAAAGGTTCCTCAAATTTGGTATCCAACTATCGTCTTATATCATTAGTGTCGTCTTTGTTGAAAATCATGGAAAAAAATTATATGTGGTATTATTACGTCGTTTTTAAATAAATTTCAAATTTTTTCTCCTAGCCAGAAAGGAGAGTTCTACTGGACTTGCTATTTTGGACTTAACACTATGTTTGTAGTAACATCGATTAAAAGCGACACACCATTGGTACGTTTACTGATATAAAAAAAAAGCATTTGACACTGTCGATCATGAGTTGTTTTTAACGAAAATGTCGCATTATGGAATTAGAAGACCTGTGTTAAAATGGTGTCAAAGTTAGCTCGCAAATCGTTCTCAATATGTTATTATAGGTAAACATCATTCTTCTTTGTTGTCTCTAGAGTGCCTCAGGGTTCTGTACTTGGCCCTGTTTTTTTAATATATTTATCAATGATCTATGCAGATCGACTAAGGCTGTTAAATATATAATGCATGCGGATGACACTACCATTTTGGCGACTGGCGATTCCATATGTAAAGTTGAATGTATTCTTAACTCAGAGCTCGCAAGAGTTCACTAGTGGATGATAAATAATAAACTGTAAATTAATATATCAAAAACTTATGCGATTTTTTTTGGTCCTAAAATTGTCACCAATTTACTAACATTTTCTACAATAACAATTTGGTAGGTCGATTGGACAAATTAATCTTTCTAGGTGTTACAATCTCAAGCAATCTAATTTAAAAAGAGCACACAATTAGCATATCAAACAAAGTATCTAAAAATCTAGGAATAATCTATAGACTAAAATATCTCTTACCAAAATGTGTATTACTTAATTTATATTATTCTCTTATTTATTCTTATTTCACTTATTCTATTGTAGTTTGGGATCTTTACATTAAGTCTCATATTATTATCTTATATAGATGTTTATACTTCTTTATTCGTATTTATTTATTATGACCTGAAAAAATATGATCATATTTCAGATTATTTATCGTTGTCTAATTTGTTGTCTATTTCTAAACTGTACGTTTTCAGATTATTATTATTATTCTTGTTTAATGTTATAGTTAAGAAGAAATTTGTTATGTTTAAATCATATTTAATTAAATCATCTGAATATTGCAAAAGAACAACTCGGCACACTCCTTTATACATTTGTATTGTCCCTCGTAATGTTTTATTTTCATCATCAGTTTTTGTTTTAAACCTGAGGTCAAAACTAACGTGTTTAGTTTTACATGTATCTAACTATGGGCTATTTAAAAAATCGATTTTTGACTTAATTAAGAACAACTTTTTTACAGAATATGATTTAATTATTTAAATTATTTAAGTTATTTTATAAGGAAAAACTTCTAATATGAATTCAATTTTTTTGTTTAACTTGATAAATTTGGATGATCATTTTTGTTCTAAGTAATTTTTGCTCATTTTTGGTTAAATTTAACTTGTTTTCATTGGCTAGCTATACGATTTTATTTACATGTTGTTATCTTCATGTAAGTATATGTTTTTATTTGGTTGGGTGGCCGTACAAGCTCGTTTGAACTTCTGTGTCTCCAGGCTTTTTGCTGAATAAAATTGAATTAAAATTGATATATAATGTATATATGACATATACTTCTCGGATATTATATTATTTAATATATGTTTAATATATGGTACTATCTTATATATTATATATTGAAGATATATATAACTATACTCATGCTAAGCCAACATTGTGTAAACAATTTCTATGGTAACTCAACATGACTGCTGATATTTGAATGCAACATACTCGAAGTTATATTAAAGTAACTTGCCATTGAAAAAATCTAGATAGTTTTAAGCGCAATTGTGTTGAACTTACCTTAAAAAAAGGAATAAATTGCTTTTTTGGTTAACAAATAAATTACTGTTCAATAGGGTATTCTATCGTCACACAAGTGTTTTTACAATGCAATACCATTGTGCCATCAACGGCTCCTGTTGAATGTTTATTTAGCCAAACTGAAACGATTCTTAGTCCTAAAAGAAATCGTTTAAGTGATGAATCATTTGTAACTTTACCTTTACTTAAAAAACAAACATTTATCGGTGTAATTAAATTACTGTAAATGATGAGTTATTTCTGAAGTCATTAAGTTTATAAATTTTTCAACTGATATATACTTAGTTACTTTGGTACTTATACTTATTATATAAATAAGTGGTAAGTACTCAATTTGTTTTGTACTTAGAGTACATTTTTTACCGAGTACTTAGTGCTTATACTTAAGTACATTTTTGAGTACTTACGTCATCGTTGTTTTTTAGTAATTACTTAATCAAAAAAATTAATTTAGAATGAATTATAAACTTTTATCATGTGATAATCTTTAGCAATCATCACATTTTAAATAAATATTACTTAAATTAACTACCGATTCATTTATTTTTTATAAGCCAAATTCATTAAACCAACTTCATTTATTTTTTATAAGCCAAATTCATTAAACCAGCCAGCTACATAACGACTCAATGTCACTTATCAATTATGTTACTACAATTTAATACAAATGTTTTAAAAAATTTGTACAACCGTAAATTTAAATCTTGCAACAATCTGAATCAATCACGCAGGATAGAGAAATCGTAAAACACTTGACTGCCCTACAAGAACAAAAAAAAAGAAGGTATCATGAAAAAAACTTGCCAAAAGGGAAACAGGTAGAAAAAGAGCAAAAATCTAAGACGATATCTGATGGGAAGTATTCAGTCACAACAACCCAAAAAACATCAACAATGTCGAAAACTGCGGAAACGATAAAATTTATAACTTCTCAGAAATCGAATATTTCCGATATCAAAAACAATTTAACAAATGAAAAAAGAATTCGACAGCACGACGAATCTGTTCGATTAAAACAAAATTACGGAATTGCTCAACTTTGCATACAACACAACTTATTAGGAAAGTCGTCTTGTGTCAGTAAGTTCAGTGTGCCAGTTATTATTAAAAAATGCGACAACGGAAGATCGATATACTGGTTAGAAAGTTTTATAAGTAGGTGCCACGCTGCCGTCTGTTTGAAAAGTAAGTTTTTTTAATTTTCGTTTTATTTTAACTATGAAATTTCGTTGCTATGAATGCTCAGTTCCTCCTCTTACTCCAAACGTTATCCGCACTAATGGCTCCGTTATTAACTTAACTGTTGAGAAATTTCATTAAAAGATGTTAACAAAGGATGATGATGAAGAAGAAGAAGAATATGATAGTGATGAAGAAGAAGAAAAATAAGAAGAGGAAGAAGAAGAAGAAGATAAAGAAGAAGATAAAGAAGAAAAAGAAGAAGAAGAAGAAAAAGAAAAAGGAGGAGGAGGAGGAGGAGGAGGAGGAGGAGATGAAGAAGAAGAAAAAATGGATAAGAAGAAGATGGTGATGATGAAGACGATAATGATGGTGATGATGATGACGATGATGATGATGAAACGACTGCGATGACGATGATGATGATAACAATAATGATAATGATGTTAAGTAAAAAGTGCACGTACACACACATACGCACATTCATAATCACACACGCATGCGGACACAAGATTATACAAAAACTTAGAAATACCAAAGGTACTTAGATCTGAAGTTCGTGTCGCTTTTTCCAAAATGAAATCAAATAAAGCACCAGATTCAGATGAGATAGTTGTAATGAAATTTATAACAGCGGCGAAATTTCTGAAGATCTATCCAAGTCAATAATTATTGCATTGCCTTAAAAACCTAATGCAACGGAATGTGAACTACATCAACTACATCAGCTTAATGAGTCATCTTACAAAACTTCTCTTGAGAATTCTGATGATGAGAGCGCGAAGTAAAATCAGATCTGAAATTTCAAATATACAATGTGGTTATGTAAAGGAGTGTGGAACATGCTACGAAGGATCAATGAACGAGCGATATAAATGAAGAAAAATTTGTTTATGAGTTTTGTCGATTACTCCAAAGCTTTTGATAGCGTGAAACACGTGGAGTTCATGGAAATAGTAGAAAATTTAGACATTGATGGAAAAGACACGAGAGTTATCATAAACCTCTATAAAGAACAAAAAGCAGCGATAGTTTTGCCGAAATAAAGAAAGGTGTTAGGCAAAGCTATGTATTCTTTCTAGACTTGTACAGTCTATAAAGTGAGATCATCAGAAGAAAGATAGATCTACCTGGAATATCCATTGGAGGCGTGAATATTAACAATGTAAGATATGCTGATGAGAAAACTCTTATAGCACATTCAATGGAAAAATTGCTAACAATTGCTTCCAAAATGATTTTTGAAAGTGAATGGAAAAGTTTGCAAATTAACATTAACAAAACAAAGTGCATGGTTATAAGTAAAAACAAAACCGCCCGATCTGCTTCATAATCATTAATGCTAAACAAGTGAAACAAGTCAACAGCTTCAACTATTTTGGAAATCTGATTACCTCAGGTTGTAAATGTGATATGGATATCAAAAAAAAAGATAGCTATGGCAAATGATGCATCTTTTAAAATGGAAAACATCTTCAACAACAGTAAAATCAAGATCAACAAAGTTAAAACTGTTAGGGTGTTACATTTTTTTGTGCCAACTTACGGCTCTGAGTCCTGGACAAATTCTAAAAAAAAAATAGAAAAAAAGATTAACGCTGCTGAAATGTGGTTTTTGAGAAAAATTATGAGAATTAGTTGGACCTCTCATACTTTAAATAAGGATGCATAAAAACAGTCGGGTTATGAAAAGAGGAAATTACTATAGATAATTTGACTGGGACAGTTAAAGAATGGAATATCTTACAACTACTGGAAAGATTGCAGCGAAAAGAGCTCGCAGTCAACAACAAATAACATTCGTGAAGTCCTTTTGTCACTTGTTCAATATCACTATTTGACTCTAGGTCCTCAATGATTTTTGTGAGTCACGAGATTGTATGGTGGCACGTGTTTCAATTCAAACATTTTTGCTGTGTGTGTGTGTGAATTAAATTATTAAGGTTCTATATGATATTTAATGACAGGTTTTACAAACTAAAAAAATGATTATAAACATATATAACTAAACAAAGACTTAGACTAATCCAAACTATCTGACTGGGTTAAAGTAAGAAGTACCACATTTGCAATTATTTCTGAGTTGCGACGTGACTGATGTTCAAACCAAACCAACTTATGTCGTTCCTTTGGGCTCATCGTTCTTTTGGGTTCATCAATCGCGTGAAGTAAAAAGATTTGCTGCATGGGCTTGCTCCTGCTTGCTCTCTAAACTTTTTGCTTTATTCCCTCTCTTCTTCTTTAAACTGTAGAAGCCACTACAAACTCGCTTTACGGTTAATATAAAAAACCGAAGCGGCAGTATCAGTTACGAGTCAAGTAATTAAATTTACGTAGAGCTTTCGAGACGGTAGGAGGAGTTAATAATTCTATATGGTTAAACAGCTTTTAGTCAATAAAGTTTGCACTAGAAAACAAATTTTCGGTGACCTTGCAAAGAAAGCACAAGAAATAATACCACAAAAAGTTAGAAAAACTTCAAGATGAAAGACGTTCACTAGACTGCAATTTTTGAAAACGCCGACCGGTTGTTAGGGTTAGGGTTAGGCTATCATTTTAAACTTGTTGTTTTTATAGATTGGAGTATTTGCTTAGTTCTTATAAAAAATTTAATTTTTTTAACAGTAAAAATAGTGTTTTTACCAGTTGAGTCTAACTCTATACCGGACGTAAATATACCTTAGGTTTGAAATCTATACTCCTAGCTTAACCTTGTCATTTTCGAGTATTTTTTTTATTTTCTGATAAAATATTTGTAAAATTATTATTTAAACTGTAAAATTGTCATAATTAAAAATTTAATTTATTTATATGCACAATAAATGATTGTTTTAATTGACTTACTTCCGTATGGACACTACCTGAATCACAAATATTAATGTGGTACACTCAAAAAAAATAACCGCTATTTTTTTTTTGCTTCAAGTATTATTAATTTGTGTTCGATTCAAAAATATTCAGTCCCTAAATAAATTTAACAAATATGATTAACAATTACGATTTAAACAGAGTCCAATGAAATAGTATCACCGGACATCATGCTCAATGGTATGTTGAATATAAATTATTTAATTAAATTAATTCAATAAACATTTGTTTTTAAACTATTAAGTGTTAAATTTGATAAAATAAAATATTGACATTTAAATTGATAAAAGGTTGTTTAAATCTAATCAGCGCTACATAAATGTTGTTTTATACTTAATCATATATATATATATATACACGTTTATATATATATATATATATATATATGTGTGTGTGTGTGTGTGTGTGTGCATCTCACAATGCATACAATACAAAGCATACACAAAAAGGAGCCATCAAATCTCACTCCAATAACCTGCCGAATTCTTGACAACACAAAAATGATTTATCAAAACACCAACAAAACCAACCAAACCCTAACTCCAATAACCTGCCAAATTCTCGACAACAATACAAAAATAATTTATCAAAACACCAACACAACCATCACAAACCCCCAATTGATTTATGTACTCGTACCGGCCGACGGTACTTGCGACAGCAGATCGGAAATTCTCACCCTTCATAGACTCACTTACTTGTAGATTCAAGTCGACTCACTATATATATATATATATATATATATATATATATATATATATATATATATATATATATATATATATATATATATATATATATATATATATATATAAAA